AAAAAAACAATACCTGTCACCTAAACCAAATGGCTTGAGCTCCAAAAGACCCCAAAAGTCCAGAGTAGGCATAAGATGCCAGTCTAATTAAAAACATGTCTGTGGCTTTCAGCTGTAACTTCACACTGCAATTGACCTGAGGTTTGCACCAAAGGATCAATAAAGTAAAATTCTATTCTATTCTATTCTATTCTATTCTATTCTATTCTATTCTATTCTATTCTATTCTGATCAATGAATAATTAACAAATTCAAATAAATAAATAAATAAATAAATAGTCAAAAATCATTAAATTCTCATGTAGCAGAAATTACATTAAATACTAGTAACATTTTTTTTCTTAGGAAACAACATTGACAGCAAGACTTTCATTCAACATACATGAAGTGGGTCAGTATCTATTATGTGCATTTATCTATCAATGACTGCAATACAGTCTTTTTTTTTTTTTTTGTCATATCCTCTTGTGAACCAAGGGGATAAAAAGTGTGTTTTGCTGCAGTCTCCATTTTGTCTTAAAACAAAGTTCCCCTCATCCCACCCAAACACATGAGACACCACTGGAAAGGCCACAATGTCCTCGATGGAGCACATCAGTACTTAGTAGAGTAGCTTGAATGAGTCAAAAGATATAGATCAAAAACAAATGTCCACTACAGAGGACGTAAATGAATAGGCTGGCATAAGCTGCTCTAACTGTGATAGCCCACAAATAATGATATGCCAAAAGAAGTTCTGTTCATAGGTGGATCACAAATGACATTTAAAAAAAAATTAAGTTACATTTTTTAAGCATGTAAAAAAATGCTCTTATGGCTGAATGTGACTACCATAAACCACAAGCCACCAGGAAGGCCCGACCACCAACTGACCTTTAATCACCAAAAGAACACACTTTGTTTGCAGATTTAAAAAAAAAAAAAAAAAACACACCCCAGGCCCTAAAGAGGGCAGATTGAGTGGAGTCACAAGGCTGTAGCTATGAATTATGGGTTGTATATAAAAGAGAAGACTGCAGGCATCTCTACAAATCCTACAGTTTCCCACTTAGCCACCATTCGGTCTACAACAAAACATCTCCGTGCATCTGCCAAACACACAACCCAAACATACATTTCATGTTCCCAAATTAAACTATGAATTTTGGATTCCACCCAGTAGCTGCAAAAACACACTGCCATCAGTCACATAACACTCTGTAATCTCCCTCACACCCTCTTTTCCTCCCCCAGTTGCACATTATGATCCTCAAAGCTCAGATGAAAATCCCTCTCTCTGGTTTGTTCCCATGCTTTGCCGTGCTGGGCCCTGAGTCATCAAGGTGTAAGAAGGTTGTGGGCGGGGGGGAGGAACTTGCGGGTGGTCGAGGGCAGCAGTAGAAAAGGTTTGGCATACCAGCGGGGTCCCCTCTCCAATGAACTCCTGAACCCCTCCTCTCCTGCTCATGGGGTAAACTTTTTAACACACGCGCCTTTCTCCGCCGGGTCAGGCCGAGGTCTCCAGCCTTTCACGCGTCGGCCGCTAATGAGGTTTCAAAATCTCAAGGCAAGGTGAAGGGAGTCTGACCTACACTCAAGAAACTGAGCCACTCTTGCTCAAATCACTTCTGACATAAAACCACAGAACAATGTGCAGTAGTCTGGCTCTGGGGATACACTGAGAGAAGTGATGCAAACCCAAACGTTTAATTTGACCTCAAAAATTATCACCGGATTTGCTTCTACTCTCTGGCAGCCTAAGTCCATTATGATGTGTATACAATGCGGCATTTGTGGACATGAAAGCAAGCAACTTACCAAATTTGCGGCCGTGCTTTAAGCATTGGTGCATTACTGAGGGAGTTACAGAGTTTTCTTCTTAAAACCATGGGAAATTACATCGTTTCTGGAGGACTTTTTTTTGCAAATCCGAATGTGAGCTAAAAGAAATGTCCTGCATGCAAGAGTTGTAACATCAGAAGTTCAAGACTCTTCCTTTTACATCTTTCTTAATCTACACCCCCATTAAAATGAATGTCAGGATGAATATTTTACATCACGCTGTAATCAACTAGCACACAGCAGTCTGCTCTCCAAAGGCAGAGAGCAATGACTATAGAAGAAGGTAAGGAAAAGGGCTTCAAACTGGCAATAAACTGCATAAAGGATGGAAGGTTGTAATAAATCAATACTGTTTTACTTTGCAAAAAAAAATCATCGCCATAGAACTTTAAAAACCAGATGCTGCACTTTGCCTTTAAGGATCGTAAAGGAGAAAATGCAATATCTTATTACAAAATATGTTTTTCAGCTTTTTGTCAACTTTGCATAGTTTGTTTAATGACTCTCTGCAATTCTTAGTTAATGTGTATCTGCTTTGTTATGTGTGAAGGTGACATATGCAAAATCAAAATAATAGTTTTGCAAATATATGAATTAATATATAGCATAGCAAAACCAAATTGCATAGATCACTTACTTACTTGTTTAACTGTCAAGATGACAGTTCTTGTAAAACTGACATATATAATTTGGACAAAACTATAGAGATAAAACTATTTTTTTAACTTTAGCTAAAGCTAATCAAGGCCAACTAGTTGTAGCTCTCTTGTTGTAACTGTTCAGTCGGACGTTGTTATTTCTAATCTACAATTTACAATTCGTTTTTTGTTGTAACTGTAAATGTGTGCTATTTACAAAAACATAAATTTCTGCAGTATAATTATTTTTTCAAAACAAAAAAAGTCAAAGAGGCAGATTCTGATCCTACTACTTACCTTTGCTATTAAAACGAAATAAATTCCAATCATCAGTATTAACGTTACATTCTTCAACAGATTTAAAAGATAATTCTAAAATGTTTGACTGCATTTAAAAAAAATAAATACATTTTAATAGTATCTACAGTTGCTTTCACATATTTAAATGTCATTTAGTGTTGACAGCTGTAATGGTTTTGTGTCTACAGCTAGAAATCTGATAAAATTATACATATTTTATGCCAAACGATTTTTAAAATATTTAGTCTGATTTCAGAGGAAATACAATAAAAGTATGAGTGAAATTTATTTTAGAAATATGGCCATCATAAAAATTGTACCTAATGAATTAATAACTCAACTTTTATGCATTTCTAAAAGTGTAGTTGGAGATAAAGGCCCAATGATTTGCTGATTGAAACCACAGATGACATATTGCCATCATTCAAATCACTACTGTTAAAAAAAAAAGAAAAAAAAGAGGAACAAATAGGAATAAACTACTCATCACTATTTTATTTTTTATAACAGATCTTATTTTTTTTATTGAGGAGAGTCAAGTTGGGCTTTCCATTTTTAGAAAATAAACCAATGACAATATTACAAATAATGAAATTGTTACATCATTCACAGGGTTACAGTCAATATACATTTATACAGAAATACAGGATTCTCCCACATCAGTCACAGTGGTCTGAACCGGCACTGGTCTATAATGTGGGCTTTGACAGACCAGGGGAACACATCGAGGTCCCCTGCCTGCACTAACCAACAGCCAGAGTGGTAGTGGTGGTGGAGGAGGGGGGCGTCCAGGGGCAGGGTGGATGGTGGGGTTGGGAGGGGGGCAACAGAGAGAAACACAGGGTCATAGAGGGGAACATAGGTGGCTATGGAGTTCTCCCTGCTGCAGCATTCGGACCTGAAAACTGTCCCTCCAACAAGCCACGTCTGACCACCACAGCAGTAGAGGGCGCTCCGGTGCTTCGTCCTGCAGCCTTCAAACAGAAGCCATTTTCTATCTGCCACAACAGGAGGCGGACTTCACGCTCTCAACATACTGCAGTTAGGCGGTGTTCAAACGCAGCCCAGTGGGTACAGCCTGGCACAGCTCATGTTTATCCACACTATCATGTAACTGTAACACTGAGACTTAACAGTTTTCCTCCGTCCTTCAAAAATTGGCACACGCTGAGGGCAGGGCTGAGCGCTTTTACTTTGCTTCACAGATGTAAAAGGAGAAAAGTACAATATGTTTCGCTGAAAGTTGCAGTTTGGCAGACGCTGTGTGAAACCCGTCGCTGGCGTCACAACCGCAACACATCTTTCATTTCCAGAGGAAAATTGTAAAACGCTTTTTTTTCTTTTCTTTTTTTTTTTTTTTAAGGGAAGCTGAAGTCTGTGGCATATTTTTTTTTGTTGTTGTAAAATTTCACACTAAAACTACACCTGGTTGAAAGTTAAATAGTGTTTGTGGAAAGTGAATAGTAGAAAGAACTGATTTAAAGGGGGAATAAGCAAAGCGCACAAATACCTTTCTGTATATACAAACCGTCAACTTTCCCAGTGATCAAATATTCTGACATATCCAACTGCACTTCTGAACTGGGAAAAGCAATTTACAGACAATTATTTCACCGAGATGAAATATTAAGTCTGATTTCGGAGGCAATAAAAACAAAACAAAGCAAAAAAAAATAATCACGCTGAGTGAAATTTAGAATTATGCCCATCATATAAACTGTACCAGATGAATTAATAATTTGACGTCTATACATTTGTCCAGTAGTCCAGAAGTTGGACACGAGGGCCCAATGATCTTTGCTCAGCTTGAACTGAAACAATATGTCTCCTTTGTGCCGGCAGAATCATAAAATACATATAGTAAATACTTCATGCGGTTCAACACTCCACATTCAAACAAAAGTTGTTGTTTTTTTTTTCCTTTAGATGAAATGGAAAACAAGAAACCAAACCTTTAGAAAGACCTTGGCAAAAAAAAGAAAGGTATTCTCGGAACTGCAAGAAAATACAGACAGTATGCATACTGTCACATACTGGAACATAAAATCAATCTCAGCAATATTCAGCCCTAGCAATAAGAACGTCTGCCACCCTGTTTAAGGTAGTTCCTTGAAGCAAACGTCAAGGATAATTGCTTGATTAATAGCTCAAAGTCTTGGCAGCACCCATGGACAAGCATCTGAATGAGCTTTAATGGGACTGGAGCAAAACCTCAGCAGCCTCGCGTATACTTGAGCTTAATTTCTTGAACAGTAAGTGTTTTTCCTGACGACGGAATATTTGCTGTACCATGAGAAGGCATACAGTCTCACTAAATAAAACTGATGAGCTGTTAAGTGTTGAGAAATGGAAAGGGAAGATGCTCTAAAGCTCAGGGAAAAAGAAAAAAAAAAAAAACACAAAATATCAAACTGCACGTTGGCATGAGTGGCATTTAGGTCACAGCATCACTTCTCACTCGCTTCTTAGCTATGACTTAACAGCTCATGATTCTCCTCCTCCAGTTTCATATGTTATGAAAAGCTTCCAGGGAAATATTTGTTCTGATGTGTTGTACTGCAGATGAAAATAACCAAGCAGAGGATTGTGGAGCAGAGGAGGAGTAAAAAAAAAAAATCCTTCCACTCTTGGCCTTAAACCTATCTGGACAGCCAAGGATGGCGAAAGGTGGGATGACAGCGATGCAGCAACTGAGGTTTCTCACTTTCTTTAACCGGGGCTTTGGTGCTAAAGCTGTCTGCGGTGACAAACGCGAAAACTCAGGTCAACGTCTGAGGATTTGGTACGAGCGAACAACGGAGGAATCTTTTGTCACGTACTCGGTGGCACGCAGCATCAGGACAAGACATGACACAGCTGCCCCCGCCGATGAGTGTCAGCTCAGCCCGCTGCTGTTGATGCTTTTAAACGCGCCGAGACGAAACAGGACAACTGGTCAGAGCTGACTGTGTCGAGATCAGTGGAAGCGGCAGACAGGTGGCCGACAGGCATGTATGTGATCAAGAGGACAGGGGAGGGAATCAGTGCCTTGGACGGAGCGGCTGTGATCGGGGTGCGGCCGCCCCGCTGCGACCAGACACATCTGACCGATGGCTCACAGCTGGACGTCCATGTCTGGCTGTCAGGTCTCGGAGCGGGAGCCCAGTGGGAGCTCTGCACTGTTGATATCATTTACTGGCTGTGTACATAAACCCCTGCCTGATTCACTGTCACTGGGGAATCACTGCATTGCTACAAGTGCCATCCCCCCCCCCTGCATAACCCTTACAACAGGTTACTGACAACAACACAAACAATGATTGACAGCTCTGTACTCATGAGACAGTATTGTTCACAGGAAACCATACAATAAATGCATATACTGCCTATAAACTGAAACCGAGGCCCGTTACAGGGAAAATGCTGTTTATCTACATGGTTTTGTGCACCAACATGATTCATGTTTTAAAAATAACTTCAAAGCATCGATGGAAGATCCAGAGTGTTTGATGGAGTCACACAGTAGACTCAGTGCAGAAAAAAAAAAATCTAAAAGTAATAACAACAATTCAATAATACCCATACAGAAATTGCAATAATATAACACATTGCATTTTTGTTTTTCATTCAATGAACGTCTGATTGTAAAGTCTATTTGTGAGTGTGTTGTGTGTGTGTGTGTAAAACAACCATGTGTGGTATCAAAACTTTAACACTTTAAACATAAAAATGTCTTTTCAAAAGGAAAACTGGAAGAAGAAGAACAGTAAATATAATGCAGCCACATTATACTCTGTAAAGTGTGTCAAATCCAAGCTCTTACCAAACAGAGTTCTAGTAATTGCAGCAAATCAAAGCACTGTGAAATTAACCACTCACTCAGCATGCTATCAAACACGAGTCCCGATGCTTCAGGAGCTTCTTGGTGCGCGTGTGCAACATGAGCATGTACGCACAGACGGCACTGGAGATGAACGACATGAGGGAGGACGCTATAACGGGACATACTGTGTGTATGGAGACTCTGATGTAAACACTAGGACCTGTTTCCTTATTCTGTGGATCTCTGTAGGAAGTCAATTTTCAGTTTGTGTTTTTCTCCACAAGCTTTCTTTTTTTTTTTTCTCTCTCCACAAATTAAAGAAATAAACTGATGTTGACAACAACTTAAATTGTCCCTGTAGTCAGTTCTGCTCCAGAACTGATCAACTCTAACCGTCTCTGAGTCGTCATGTTATGGCAGGTCAAGTGCATCTGATATGTACAGTACAGGATCATGACTGGGGTGCAAAAGAGAAGAGTTCTATTTGGCAGGCTGTGAATATTTCACCGTGAAAAGAAAAAAAATAAAAACTTGTCATTTTGTCTTTAGTGAGAGGAAGCATGGTGAGAGGGAGTCTTCATCACAAAATGTCACACAATATAGAAAACTACTTGCAATGAGAAAAAAAAACCGTTTTTCTTTTCACCGTGTGAATTGTCAGTCTGATTGAATGTGTTTTTGTTTTTTTTCTTTTTGTGTTTTTTTTTTTTTTCTTTTTGTGTTTTTTTTTTTTGTTTTTTCATCGTGTTTCCTGGGGAAACAGTTGGGTGTGCACGTCGGATCCCCCAGTCTCCTCTACAGTTTGCCTTTCAGAAGGCCACAGAAAACTCTGCGTTTCCACACGATGTCCAAAATTAAAAACAAAGACAATATCCACACCTTGCTGAGGATGGTCTCCTCAACTCTTCCTTGTTTTCTTTTTTTTTCCTTTTTTTTTTTTTTGCCCTTTTAAAGGGTAGCTTTCCTACTGCAGTTCATCTAGTGTACAACCTTATATCATCTATAAATTTAGATAAACTCCTTTCCTTTTTCAGTTTTTCTTCTTTTTTCTTTAAAAAATTCTTTACAAAATTATCAGAACAAACAAACCAAAAAATAAATGTTCTACATCAAATGAAAATTGGTGGAAGATTGAAAAAATGTGTTGCTGGTCACGTCTAACCTCCCATGTTTCTGGCTCTAAAAGGTGGGTTGGGCTGTGGGTCGTCTGATGCTTCATCGCGAGGACTTCCGCTTTCACGACTTTCTCCACAGCTGATTCCCAGGATGGAGGGAGAGTCAGGGTGAGGGGGTAAGAGGAGGATAGAGGGCAGTGGAGAGGGGACCGGGGGGATGAATGGTAGCCTGGTGGGAAGACCAGACATACAAAAAAATATCCACTCCATCCTCCGCCGCCCAGAGCCATGCATGCCAACCGCTTTTTTTTTTTTTTTCCTCCCCCTCTGCTCGGGAGGGTCAAACCTCCACCGACTGGATCTGGTTCATCTGTGCGCGCATCATCTGGACGCTGTTGAGGATCTTCTTTTGATGGCCTGCTAACGTCACACCAACCCTCAGGATGTCACTGTAAGAATAGACAGAAGCAGATGTCCGGCTGATGTTACCACATGCATACATACAATTTTTATTTCCATCTACGTAAATAGTAGGGATGCACACCATGTTGGCGACCACATCGGTATTGGCTGATATCAGTGTTTTTTCCCATATATCGGTATCGGTTCGATGAACAAATTTAGCCAATGTGAAAAACCGATGATTGTCCAACAGTAGCGCCTTCCTCTCTACATTTGATATTGCTGCTATTTCATAGATGTTTTCACTTAAATGGTCCTGGAGTTGAATGTCAAGAATGTTAAAATATGTTTTACTTTTGTTACGTATTGATAGTTTTCACGTTCTCACAGTGCTTACTTATACTCATTTTTCGGTGTGAACAAAAACTGAATATCGACATCGGTAATATCGGTTATCGGTGATATCAGAAATCTTAATATCGGATATTGGTATTGGCCAGAAATTTTAATATCGTGCATCACCTGTAAATATACTAAAAAGACAACCTGGCATTAGCCACAAAGTCTCGCACAGACACTGGTAATGTAATAATGCTACATATCACAGCATAATATGACAAACTAAGACATGACGGCATCACGGCAGAAAAGAAAAATTAAAAGTGAGATGTCAGTAACAAATGCAGGCATGAAACACTGTCATTCTGACTAAAAGCAGCTGCGTGTTCATGCATTTTTGAAGACAGAATGCTTATATAATCACAAAAACAATGTTTGAATGTCAGTTTTTCTACAACTGAAACTTCTCACGACTCTAAGACAAACGCAGAGAGCGACAAATTCACAACATCTCTATTCAGTCCGGTCCACCATAGACACAACATTCAGGGCAGAGGTCACGTGCTGTTGCCAAAATAAACAGCTCCGCATTGTATCAAGGCAGCGGCAGCAGCTCCAAACATCATTTACTCAGCGTCTGTTGAACACTTTCTTATCCATACAACAATGAAATTCCTCTCTCCTATTCACACTTGTGGGATTGCACATTGCCATCTGTTGTGTTCAAAGAACCGAAGCTCAACATCTCTGTGGGTTAAACTGCGGCTTGTGATACTGTTATCCTTTGACAAGAAATGATTTTTATCTCCCACTGGCATTCTTAACATGATTCCATTTCATATATTGAGCTGATTTTCCTCCTAGTATTTCAGCTAACTAACCCCATATTCTAAAGTTTCCTCGCAGTCTTTAAACTGAGGTCAAAGAGAGGCCTGCTGCACACATGGCAGAGAATAAAGGGCACTGTTATGGCTTGGAGCTATTGTGCCCACCGTTCAGCCTTGCGACTACAATATTACGATCTGCTAATTACATGCAGAGCTGGCGTCTTTCATAACGAGCCAGAGGCAAGAGTCTGGTGTTCGTTCGGGTTTTAGGGGGATATACAAGATTGAGCAAACCCGCTTCTTGTGATCGTTTTCCTCGTGCTTATCAAACCCAGAGTACCAGGAATCATCGGCACTTACTCCATGGTCATCTGAGACACCACATCAAACGTAGAAAAGTCAGCGTTGGCAAAGTTGTCTTTGTACTGGCCCATCTTGATGGCATCCAGCCATTCATCCACAGTGCTGAAGCTGGAGAAGTCTGGGATGCTGCGGTCCAGGAGGGGGAGATGAACACTGAGGGGGACACAAGCAGGGGCCATTAAGTGTAATGATAATACAGAATGGCAGGTCTAACATCATAGCCAGTTCAGACCACCTGTGTCTGATTCAAACATGAATTATTACATTACATTTTCAAAACGCAAGACAGAACTTAAAGCATCCCGCTGGCCTTATCCGTGAACCAATATTTTCCTTATAGAGGGTATTTTCCAAATGAAGTGATAGGCTTCGGGGAGCCAATATGTTCACTCAGTGTCTGTGGAAAATCTGGCCCTTGGTCCTGCACTCCACCACAAATGAAAGTACAGACGGGGGATAATGGAAATCAGCAAACCCTGGCTCTCAAAGGAAACTAACACCCAGAGCAGAAACGCTTGAAAATGTTTTGTTTCGAAAATTGCACAACTGCTTCAATCCAGGATTCGCCTGCAGCATTCGTGGGAAGGATCTGATCTATCAAACCAAAAGGCTTTAATTTACATAACCGCTCGGCGCCAGGAGAAACAAGAGACACTGTGTTCGGCAAAAGTGAACTGTGCCACGCATGTCACTGCAGCAAGAGTATGAATTTCCTGCGAGGAAGAGGAAGGTTCTTTATATTGAGACAACCTCAAATGCATCACATTGCTCGGGATGCTCAAGATCTGCATCAGTGCGAAATGATGCTGAAATCAAAGGCCTGTCTTCTGGGTTGAGATAGAACACATATGCGCATACCGCACGGAGACTGAAGGACAGAGCAAGGGAAAAAAAATTTACATTAAACAACAGACTATACCATATTCTACTGCTGACAAAGCAAACACAAGGAAATCATATAAAACAAATTTGATCAGCAGCATTCTCGTCACTCACCCTGAAGATAGAGGAGTCATGGCCTTCAGCGTGTTGGGGTTGCGGATCATCTTGTCAAGGTTGTTAACAATCTGGCTGAACTTGGGCCGGTTGTTGCGGTCCTTCTGCCAGCAGTCCAACATGAGCTGGTGCAGGGCGCTGGGACAGTCCATGGGTGGGGGCAGCCGGTAGTCCTGCTCTATGGCATTGATAACCTGTAGGGGGAGACACAGATCTCTAAGGGTCGCTAGGAGGTTCTACAAAGAGGAGGTCGATTGATGGAAAGAAGAGAGTGTGCGACCAGTTTTGGAAGAAGTACTTGTATCCTTTCCTTAAATAAATGTAACAGTACAATAGTGTGAAAATTCGACCTCCATATGGAGGTATTTAAAATGTACTATGCAGGCATTAAAAGAAAAAGTACTAGTTCTGAAGAAAAATCGGCAGTAAAACTTTATTATCTATTACATTACTAGATTGTTAGTGGCAGGAGTATTTTAGTGTTTAGCTGGAGCTAGTTTTTAAAAACTTATACAGGTAAGTTGCTTAATTCCCTCCAGTGTTTCCCAGTCTATAGGGTAGATTCTTTCCAAAAGGCTCACAAGAGCGACTGAAGTCGTTGTGAGATGATTAATGCGGCAGGGAAGATTTATAATAAATAAATAAAAAAAATCTGAGCTCATTTATTTGGACTTTTCTGAAAGCTTTGCAATTTTATTTAGTTTGAATTAAATCATCAATAAAGTTTAGAGCTGGAAGGTCTCTCTGGTGGAACTGCTCACAAAAGTGCTCATAAAAACCTGAAGTATGAAAAAGGGGCACAAAGCTCCGTCCAGCTTTTTCTGAGAGGTGACAAATATTGATTTCATGTTCAAGAATGCACTGTTTTTTTTAGTTGTTTTAAAGAAAAAAAAACTTTAACTAAAAAGTCACAAGTGCTGCATACAGTGGCAAAAAAAAATTCCATTGTTCATACTGTTCATCCTGTATATATACACTGCATCTATCTCATAGCATTAAACTAGTTTTTAAACCATATATACTGTTTCTACTCATTCTGTATATAATGCACCTTACTGCTGGTTTTGTACAACTAGTCCGATGCTAAACTGTTTCGTTGTCTTAGTGCTTGTGCTCTGTGCAATGACAATACAGCTGAATTTAATCTAATAGAAAAGTACAATATTTTTCCCTGAAATGTAGTTGAATGAGCACTACTTTTGCAAAAAAATATATATATACATATATTCATGTAAGGTACAAGCATCTTCGACTTTTACTAAAGTACATTATAAAGCTAAAGGTAAAGGAGTTAAATTCAATAAGCACAATGACCCAGCTGGAAACCATCCACACAGGACGTATGGATGCAATGAGTTTATAACGTAATGTTTTGCAAACTAGCTCCAACTTAAGTTCACAACAGTCTGTCACGTCTCATAAAAAATATTGGCAAAATATTGGCACTGATAAACATTACAAGAGCATCTGGGCCTCACACCAGGACGCGAAAACAACTGCCGCAGTCATTACTACGTGCAAAACTGCCTCAGAGTCAAAACTATTAAATTATAGTTATTACTTAACCATAAATACATGTAAAAGTATAAATATATATATTTGTGCACAAATCACCGCATTAGCTCTGCTCGTGAGGAGTTGTGAAACAGCAGTTAGGTCAGAAAGAACATAAACCTTATTCCACCAACTTCACATTTCCACTCGCACTCTGCCAGCAGTGACTTCATCTCTGGCCTTTTACAATGTATTTAATGCTCTCTCTCCATAAAGCCACCTTAAAGATATGTCTGACTCGGACAGTTGATGTTGTTGGTCGAGGGGAGCGCACAGAGGTGGTGCACAGTTAACAGAGTGGAACAACCCGGAGGACACTTGTGACGAGGACGAGCAATCCCCTGCTCATTATCAGGGCCATTAAAGAAGCTCCATTCAGACCCAGATTAATCTCATTCATGAGACCTCCAAACGAGGACCCCGATGGAGCAGAAACACTATCTGGAGCTGCTAATAAGATAACCGTTGAGGTCCTCAGTCCCTCTTAGCACATTAGTGTTCTCACTTTCAATTTGAAACTATTTTCATTATCTCTCTCCCCATAATTTGCTCTCCCCTCCACTACCCAGAGGGAGATAGGAAATGGAGGCTCCAGTCAAGAGCAGAAATTGTCCACTGAGCACTGCTGTGCATTGCAAATGATCTGATTATGTCTCTGTGGTGAGTGTGGGGGAATTTTCATATAAAACCCATGTGTGAAAGCCGCTGTTTAGCTAAGGGAAAGCAGATACAATGACAAAACGCATCTCTGAGGAATATGAGGCTGTAATGAAACTCAGGAAGCCAGAAATGTAAGTTTGTATTGAGGCCTCTCTAAAAATGTTCGAGGGGAACTTTGACTCAAGAATCAGCCTCCAATTTAAAAAGTACCAAAGGCAGCTTAAACACATACATCTTGATTGGTCATGTCCCAGTACGGCCTCTCTCCGTAGGACATGACTTCCCACATGACGATCCCGTAGCTCCACACATCACTAGCAGAGGTGAACTTCCTGTACTGGATAGCTTCGGGTGCAGTCCATCGGATAGGGATCTTCCCTCCCTGTGAACACAAAGGGCGCAACATCAGTGAGGGAAGCGAGACCGAAACCCGACCGTCACAGTGTCCTGGCTCTGGAGAGAGTCGCTGTTCACGCTAACAATACCGATGGTAATCCAAACTGGGAGATGGATATAACAAAACCCCTGGGAGGAAAGTGTGGTGCATGAAATACTGGAGAAGGAGGAAGGAGAGAACAGGTGATGTGTGTCTAGATAGGGAGAGCAGTGTGGGAGAGCACTGTAGTGTGTACGTCAGACCTCGGTTTAACCCTTAAAAAAAAAAAAATCCATCAAACTTGCAGGCAAATGAACTCTCAATCAGAGCAGTTCAATGTCAGGCAAGTTCTCGTTTACAAAATAAAACGCATTGACCCAGCTGTAGTGAGCGTGCGTCTCATTTATATGTCAAGGGAAAAGATAAGATTTGAATGTTTCATACCAGAGCACTGGTGTAAGTAGGGTCTGATGTATCATCCTCCAGGAAGCGTGAAAGGCCGAAGTCCGACACCTTGCACACAAGGTTACTGTTGACCAGGATGTTTCGGGCAGCAAGGTCACGGTGCACATAATTCATGTCGGCAAGGTACTTCATGCCCGAGGCGATGCCACGCAGCATACCAACAAGCTGGATCACAGTGAACTGCCCATCGTTTTGCTGCAAAACAGACAATGTGTGTTTCAATATCATATTGAGTGATTCAGAAGAGATGTTCCTTAAAATTCATTTGACAACATGTGTTTAGAGTCAGGCCATCAGGGTACATTTTAACTTCAAATAATTGATTTCAGTCAAAGACATAAAATATACTAAACCTAGGTGCAAAACTGCCTGTGAAATGTTCAGCTATTTGTTTTGTGACAACCTTGCCTCAACCTTTTTATTCAACCTTTTTCAGAAATGTCTCTTACTGTCTGACAGTAGTGTTTAGATACACACAAAAAAAATGTGACTCAGGGGAGTGAGTCATTTTTCTACAAACAAAAAAATGCAATTAGATTTCAAAAGATGACATAATCACATTTAAAACATATTCAAGACAAAATATTTCATTTTTACATTTCACTCAATAAACTTCAATTTGACTGTCTTTCTTGTAACAGATTTTTCCAGAGCTCACCCATGCAGTCCGTATTACAAATACACACACCTGACCTCCTAAAGTCATAATAATCATACATTGACACTCCTGTGTGGAGCTCACCCAGTATAGGTTAATGTAAAAAAGTTCTTTTAAAGATTTAGTTTCCCTGAAGCAGCCCTCCAGCAAAGCAATTAGTTGGAAACAAACTGTAAAACTAACACATTGTGCTACATGCATGGAGTGACTCATAAAGAGATTTTCTCCGACATTATGTGTATATAGTCAGATTATCAGGATATATTTCAACTTTAAAGTTCTAATTTCAGTCAAACACACTGATATTTATTGAACATAGGGGCCAAACTGCCTGCCAAATGTTGGCTATTTTGGATTGTTAGTTAGTGTAAGAATTAGTTTATTGTTTGTTTTTTTTAAAGTAACCTTTCAATGCCTTGCCTCAACCTTTTTATCCAACTTTTTCCCAATATGCCTCTAAGTGTCTGATATTAGGGTTTAGATGCAGAAAGAAAGAAAGAAAGAAAGAAAGAAAGAAAGAAAGAAAGAAAGAAAGAAAGGTAATAAAACAGAGGATTGGGTCATTTTCTCTAACAACAAAACGCAATCAGGATTTTCTATAATCACATTTAAGATAAAATGTTTCAATTTCTGTTTATGTTTGTTTTCTTCTTTAACTTAATAAACTTTGATTGTAATAGGCTTTTTCAGAACTCATCAATGCAGTCCATATCACAACATTATCCGGAGTGCATAACAATTTAATTTAGTCTTTTTTATGTGGAACCCAACCTGTGTAGGCTCATTAAAGAAAAGTTACTTTAAAGCTTAGTTTCCCTCAAGCAGCCCCGCAGGATACCGACAGCAAGGTTTGGGCCGGGCTCAACTGGCCTCAACAGGGCTGGGCACGACTAAGCCGGGTCTGGCTGGCTGTCTACAGCTGTTCCCCTCCATGGTTTGGTGAGGGCTTTACCCCATGCATGGGGAGTGTCTGGAGCAGTGGTGCAGCTGTGCCTCCAACTGCGCACACCTGCACTCTCCCCACCACCCACCACGACGCCCGGAAAACAGAGGATTCCAGAGAATGGAGCATGGGAGCTCGGGGCCGGGTGCGGACAGACAGAAAGGCTAAAAGAGGGGATTGGAAGGACAGCCGAGCAAGGCCCAGAGCACAGCCAAATTCCTCTGGCCTATTTCTCTTTCAAACGCTTTGCTACTCATTAGCTGAGTGGATGCTTCTCCTCACGTCAAGCTGCTCTTCCTCATGTACCACAGCAATTAAGCAGAATGCATTATTCATGAAACCTTTCTCACAAATACACATTGCCACCTAATCGGAGCGCTATGTTTGCATATAATTTAATTGGACAGATTCCTCCAAAGTCTTCAGGGTCAGGTTAGCTGGAAGGTAGAACCATGAATGTGAATAAAAGTCTGATTTATATGAAAATAATGTTTTACATCAAAGGCTGACTTTCATTCTTTTTACTTTCTCATCTTACAGTTGGCTCTGAATACCATCCCAGCTCTGATCAATCTATTCCTGCTCTAGATACCCCGCGGGCCTTCCTGTAGGAGGCAGCAGGGGAGACAATCCTTCAGCAGGCAGCTCAGCACAGACTGCAGTGACCATTTTTAAACAACCACCCAGCAATCACTTCAGAGAAGACACAAACCATGTTCAGAGGCTTTGACACTGTCAGCAATTGTTGTCATAAACTGTCACCGTGAGGTGCTGCAGAGGTTCCCTGTTGTTTTGAATACAATGTGCTGTCAAATATGTTTAGCAAACATCTACATATACACAAACACCCTTCACCGCGAGATCAAATTCCAAAAAGAGCTGATGCTTTGCATCTTGGAGCTCAGATGCAGAATGCTAATAAAGACTGTGAACCCAGCTTGAACAGTGCACTGTCAGGAGCTTGCATGTCTGTTTCTAGAGGTTGGTTTTGATGTAGTGTTAGAGCAGGAAGCCTAAACTGACTAACAGAGAGGGTATTATGCTGCTGTAAATCATTTAAAGGTGTAGAAGCTGTTTTCAGACAGAAATAATGCTGTGCAATTCTTTGATTACAGTCATTTTCAGAAAAATAAACGGTTCTTATTAATCATTTATTGTTTGTTCCACAGTGACTTTACAGCACAACTATAGAGTAACTTTTTAATTCAAAAGTGGCTTAAGTTAAATTATACTGCAGCACTCTTACAGGACTTATTTATACTTCCAAACTTGCATTAAAGAGAAAGTTCCTTTCACATCACCAGAGGTTTACATAAAAACAACCCTTTTACTGGGTTTATTTTACATCCCCAGTTTCCATAATTGAGACCACTTTTGGTTTATCCTAAAAATGCAAAATAAGCAATTAGGGTAGATGAAAGCACACACAAAAAACTATATTAGTCCAAGATTTGTTTTTATTATTTCACTAACATCCCAAGACAGATGGTGAAGGGTTGTCTGACATCTCATCTCATAGCCGGCTTCATTTTTAAACATCTGACATCTCATTTTAAGTCTAGCAAAGTATTTGAATTATTTATGTGGGTCGTAAATGGGGGAGCATGGCCAGTTCTCTGTAATATAATTCCCTGGTAAGATTATGAAAATTAAAAATCCAATGAACTTGTGAGCACTGCATATTTCTTGTCAAGGAGTGGAGGGGGAGTGGGGGGATAATGTGGCTTCTATTTGCATCCATACACAGTGGAGCATTATCAGCAATATGACGAAGAGGATGAGTGAATACAAAGCGAAAATAAGAGACATCAAAGAGCACGAGAAAGTCTTGGACTCTGCCTCGCCTTTCTCTTTATTATGCAGTTCAGTGTGACAGAAAATATACCTTATAGACAGCAAAACTGTATTAATGGTAAACACATATATTTGTAGTTAAGAATGTCTTTGAGTAACTTGTGATAGATACTGAACTAAACAGGAGACTTGGACTAAGACTAAGTGTTTATGTGCAAAAAGTAAGAAGTAAGTCATAATCTTGAGGTGGTAAAATTTCTGCAACAACTTTTGGTGGTAAATTTACCCAGTTGTAGTTTATTAACATTAATATTATGAATTGGTTTAATAGTAAAAAACAAGAAAAAATCTTGGCTTGTGTTCTGATTAACAATATGCTCTTTGCATAGCAGGGGTGGTTGCCTCTTGTCAGTTTTTGACAGGTAGTCGGCAGAACGCTCAGCAGTTGTCGAGTGCACTGTTGGACGGAGTCGTCAGACGCTCTCATTACACTAACATCATCACATCAATTTTTAGACTTGTCACAATAAAAGCCTTCAATTGAGACCTCCGAGCTTCAAAGCAGCGAAGCAGCTCGTGCTGTCAGGCTGTGAAGTAAGCGTTACCGTTAGCACGTACAGCCGCGGCGTGGATCTTTCAGCGGTTTTCTTTAGGTGTCATTCTGATATCAAACAACGTTAGATGTGACTTACCAGTATTTTCTTGTTTATTCATTATCAAATGGCTAAATATGCAACTGTCAGTAGCAAATATAAAAACACCTTGGAATGGCATTATTATATGTGACTATTTTTGTGCAGTGGTATATTTATACGTCACTTCATACTATGCAGTCCATAAACAAGTTAAATTTGTGGAAAATTATGTCAAATTAAATTGCACAGGTGTACTACTGATCCAAAAAAATTTCAGTTACAACTATTACAGGTGAAACAGAAATACAAAACTCACTCTGAGAAAGGTGTCCAGAGATCCATTCTCCATGAACTCAGTGATGATCATGACAGGACTGCTCTTGGTGACCACTCCTTCCAGATGAATGACGTTAGGATGGTCAAACTGCCCCATGATGCTGGCCTCGCTCAGGAAGTCCCGCCTCTGCTTTTCTGTGTATCCAGACTTCAGAGTCTTTATGGCCACAAACATCTCCCTTTTACCTGGAAGCTTTAGATTACCGCTGCACACTTCTCCAAACTCTCCTGTAATGAGGTTAAACAAAAACAAAGCAATAGTTCTATCAAACTCAGAGTGACACACGCAACTAAAAGTAAGCAGTTTTCTTTGCATCTACTTCTATTTAGTGATCAGCTAACAACCAAGCTATTCTATGGTGTTGTATTCCGTCCACGTTTCAGTCAGATTTTTTCCATTACCTGCACCAATGACCTGCTCAATCTTCACACAGGATATATCAATCTCCTTGGCGAACTCCCTCACAGCCTCGTTGGGGTCCTCATATGTGAACGGATCGATATAAATCTTCATTCCTGGAGTCACTTGTAAAAAAGGAAAGAGCCACTATAATATTTGATTCCTGTGGTCATGCTTACACTCCTGTGGGCTTGACAGTGAAACGCAGTCAGGCGCATTAACAATCAATTCACCTTGCATTCACACATTCCTGTACAATTATTTGATTTCTTGACATTCCGGTGGTGAAGGATGAAAGATGGAGGAGGTAGAGGGGTTACAAATGGTGGTTATGACTGGTGCCTCATGGCTACTGTGAGTAACTATTCAGCCAGCAAGGACATGGTACCTCCAGTCCTCTTAACTGTGATAAGGTGAGTTAATATATATATATATTTATTTATATATATATATCATCTCCTGTGAGTCATAGAGCCATTAACGCTCAGGAGAGAAACCTGGCCCCTATATCAGCATCGCTCAGCTCCACTCCAAGAAATAAATTGGCTATCCTAAGCCCTGATGCCAGGTAAATTGGCTTAAGGTGGCCTTTAAGTGTTCAGGGACTTAAGTGTCCCGAGTTTTAAATCCGATTATTCGGCTCATACCTCCACATCAGGCCGCAGGCTATTTGAATGGATACTGAACTCATGCCTGGGCTGCAGCAGAGCTAGACGAGCATGCACACTGCCTCAAAACCTGGCACACTACGCTGAAGAAACATGCTGCAGAGATGAACAGATGGAGAGGATCTTACCAGGCAAAGCCCCCCATTACTAAAACCCTACAATCTCTTCCCAAACCAAAGCGCTGTTCAGCAGACCACCTTCCTGCGATGGCAAAGACCACCAAAAAAACAAGGGCAGAAGTCTGAACTGTGACTGGTGTTAGGACAGGGTGCACACAAAACACATTGGCCTCTGCTGTTAATAGCTGTGAAACACCCGAGCCTTTTACTGGCACACTTTTCACCGAGTCGCGAACTGCACTTCTTTGCACAGCATGATTGGATTCTATTGAGAAAGCAATCACCTTTAGAGTGGGATTTACAAAAAATAAAAAATAAATAATGGGTGAAGCAGGATGGTAATTACACCATCAAACACACAAATTAAGATGTGGTCATAAACTCAAGACGGAAATAGATCTGTGTTTTTCAAATCAGGCAGGGGTAAGACAGATTAGCCGGAGCCAGGGAGAAATTACTTCTCGGCTTTTCCTCACAGATTTATCTCTGCATTATTGTCATTTAAGCTCTATGCTACTGTACCGTATGAAGAAAGAAAATCATTGAGTAATTCCATTCATTCACCAAGTCTTTTGAATTTTTTAACAATGGCAAATGACTCATGTGCATTAGCATGCTAATGGCCTTAACGTGAGCGAAGACTGACCTATTTTCAGCACAATGGATTTAGTTAACTATGAAATGTGATGCACAGAACACACACTCTTGAAGACTGGTTTTGATGTGGGCAAATCCAGACTCTGTGCGAGCAGAGTCAAACAACAGGCGAGATTACTTCGTAAGTGAGGGGGACGGGCAAATAAAGCGGCGCTGTGTAGCCAAGGACACCAGAATGCAAGGTGGTAGCCATGGAGACAGGTGTGTGAGGCAGCGGAGGGTTGAATGATAGCCATGGAGATGACTATGTAACGTGGTCGTCATGGAGACAGGTGTGTCTGGTGCCGAAAGGAGGGAACTGAGCAGAGAGGAGCGGCGGGTTTACTCACTGTGGCCGCTGGTGTAGTGCTGCAGTTTGTCTGTGTATTCTGAATCAGCCCTGTCAAAGCCACGCCTCCTGGGGGAAAGACAAAGAACTCTAGCTCTGGTTCAAAGATAGGGAGCAGGGAGGTGGAGAAACACAGATCAAACACCCCCAGGTCTACTTACACTAAAGACACACCAGCAGAGCCAGGACTGAGTAGGTAGAGAAGCATTTGTTTGTTTGTTTTTTGGCTGCACTGAATCAAGATATCAAACCATGCAGGCATCCTACACAAATATATCTTTATTTTTTTCTTTTGAAAATGCTTGCTTCAAAATTGTTTCAAAAGGCTTTTTACAGTTTGTCTTTCATTCAAACGTCATACAATAAAGGGGAGCGTGCATTTTTAAATTCTTAGTAGACAAGCATCATAATTTTTCTTTTACACAGACTGTTGACAGGAGCTGTGTGATGCATTGTGGTTTAGTTTAGTTACATCACACAGACTGCAAAAAAAAGACAGCCTAAGTCTGGGCATGATTAAGAGTTTTGAACAAGACAGGACAAATACCCCTCAGGCAGAGTTTCTTAATAACCAACAGTGGCAAAACAAATCAACGATCAAGTATGTAGTAGTAAGCTAATACGATGTAAGCAGATCAGATTTCAGCCAGGTCTAACAAATCAACCTTAAATACAGATGCTTGTCAGTGTCACTGTACAATTCAGAGTTTTTGCCACTGACTCAGTCTCAGGTTTCATATTACCTTATACAGTTTTTAAAATATTGATATTGGACTAGGAACTGAGGCAAGCGAGATATACGATCTTCTGTACGGAGCAAGTTTTCATGCATATCAGTTTAGCACACTTACTATTTGATGTAATTTTATATTCCATCCGTTTAAAGTGTAAGTTCTCATTATACTCAGTCATTGACTTTCACTGGGTCTATTCTTCAATGCGGTGTGCAACCTACTGGATGTCAGTATGAAATCATAATTCAAGATAGCAATATGCGTAAAAAAAAAAAGTCTATTTAACATCCAATTAAAAAAAAATCTCTCTCTATATATATATATATAGAGGGAATATACGTATGTTCATAATTCCATCTCATACTCAGTCAAACAGAAACATTTACAGAGCTTTAATTTGAAAGAAGTTGACTTTTATATATTATTTCTGCTCTGGAAGCATTGAAACGTATTAATAATTAACATATTTCAACCCAGATGTTTTTATCTTTGCTACTCACGTTTATGGTTATGCTCACATTATGCTAATCTGATTTTAGAGTACATGCATTGTTTACACCACATTATGCTTCCTTCTCTTTTCTGCAGCTGTCTCAATCCATATTACAAAACGCAATGTACCTTTGCAACTTACATTTATACAGACCTCTTGTACCCTTATCTGATGTAACACAACAACAACAACAACAAAAAAGGGAAAAATTTCCATTTTTGCAAGCGAGTTGAGATGAGGATTTCTGTAAGACTGCGACAGGACTGACTCACCGGTTGCAGACGATAATGATGACAACCACAGCAATGAGGAACACCAACCCAGCAGCTGCCGAGCCAATGATGAGAGGCAGCTTCTCCTGAATGCTGGTGTTGTATTCCGCTATAGAAAGAAGAAACACATGGATAAACACAATGCCACGTATGCACACACGTGCACGCACAGTCACAAGCTTGCAACATATGGGCAAGCATCTGAGCCGCTGCATATGGAGGGAGCAATGGGTGACAGACAGACATACGGCTGGGTGAACCAATGAGCATCTTGGCATCTTGACTGGCTGCATGGACCATTTTCCAAAGCACACTGAATGTGCTCAGACGCCGCAGATATGGACAAATCATCTGGCAGAAAGTGTGTGAAGTGAGGAGAGAGAGCATGTTTGGGTGAGACCCAGGCTGATCAGGCAGCCAAGAATGTGAAACCGGCTACTGAATGGGCACATAGAGTCAGAGCCAAATTCTTCTCTTGAGCACCACGAATAATACACAACTTGACGATTTCGACCAGATACACGGGTTAGTGGGTTCCCCAGGGTTTTACCTGCTTCTCTAATAATGATAAATGTTGCATTGCATGAGGAGGATGACATCTAATAAATAGTCGATAATACAGTGTAATGTCGTTTTTAGTAGATAGAACTGACTTATTAATGTACAACATTTACCAACAATTATGATTTCTCTCGAGGCATTTAATAATATCATAAATATAGAGTGAAGTGACTAAAAGCAAGAAATTTGTGTTGAGTCTTGATGAAATTCTGCTGAGAACTGCTAGTCCCCTACATTTGTAGTTTTTATTTTTATTTTTAAACTTTGAAGTAGATCAGGTAAGAATTGTACGATACAGCTGCCAAAGTATTCAGGAAAAAAAATATTCATCTGTACTTTTGCTTTAAGTATTGGATTTCAACATCTCTACAATTCCAAGTAATTTCAAAAACACAATTTATAGCACATTTACATTACTTTTTTTCATTTTCACTTTCTAGTTCAATTTCCCTGTTACTTTCAATTACCTGAAGCATTTCCAGAGATGTACTCATCACAAAAACTGTATTATTGCCTTTAAACTAAATTAATCAGGGTTTTTTTTTTTTCTTGTGCACATAATGCTTCCAGTGAAAAGCCATATACATCATCTGCTTACACAATATCTACAGTTATGAGTCTGTTTGACATATCCTTAGTGCTGGATGTGCGTGTGGCAGCATCAAGGATGTTTGTGTGAGAGTTCAGGCTAATGATGGCTCTGGGCTCTGCAGGCTGAAGGAAATGAGATGTTCAGAGGGGAAAACCCAGGCCTGGCTCTAACATTAACCTACTTGACTGATGTTTGCTGAATGTTCCGTCTTCAGCCAGTCATGTCATATTACAAAGACAAAACAACTTTAACCTCATCCTTGACTGAAAGACCTCTGGTGGAAAATGGCAAAAAGTCCTATTTGACAAGAAATGTTTCTTTGCATATTGTAAATATGGTGAAATAAATTATTATATGACTATAGCGTTCGGGATGTTTCCCTAAAACTGAAAAAGACGCAGTGAAAATAACAACATGATTTCGAGCCACGCTGATCTGATGTTGGAGTGCGGGTATTGTTTACCCCACAACATGCTTCCTTCTCATTCCCGCAGCTGTCTGAATCCATATTATACTACATGGTGTGTCGATGGGCCACGCATGAGAGGTGATAACAACTCTGCGTGCTCTGGTGAACATTGGCTGAATTCTCACCCTCAGTCATGGTCTGGAAGTACAGTTTGCCACTGTAGCGTCCAAACCCAGCTACGGTGCGGGCCCGGACCTGGAACACGTAGATGCTTCCTGGCTTGAGGCCACGTATGACCACTGTGTTTGTCTGGCTCCTGATGGTGGTGGAGTTATATTCTGATTGGTCCTGGGAGAATAAAAAAAACAACAACATATTCAATGTGGGTGCATTAGTAATTACAGTTAGGATAAAAATTAGGAAATGCCACGTGAGTAAAGTACATATTATTTTAAAGTAGGACACAAAAAGCATTCAAAAAAAGTTTAGAGTTTTTAATCCTGACTTTTTTCCGACAATTTGAACCCTCCCACCCAAACAGCGGTTCTAAAGCTTAAAAAACAAGCATGTCATTTAACTAGAACTACACCCCTTATCAAAGCCAGAAACCGTAAAAACAGAAACAATTGTCAGATTTTTATTTTATGTGTGACTTTCAGTTTGTGTAACATGTCATTTCAAAACTCACCAAAAATAAACAGTTTACAGCAGATTCCATAAAAAACAAAAAATCCCCCCCTCCTCGATGCAACCAGAAAGATATTAGTGACTGAGCTGCAACCATCAGTCGCGTGATACAAATTCAAGGACTAATCAGCTGAACTGGGCTGAACTGCAGGCTGTGTTTACACAGAACAGATTGGAGACAAGAATGCAAACACATTTCAAATGTAGACAGTTAAATATTTACAGCAAAAGGAGTTTTTTTTCCCCCAATATTGAGAACATATGTGGAGACTTGGAAAAAATGAAGTACATGTTGTTTCCAGGTTTTTAACATTTTTGGGAAATAAATAAATTAAATTAAAAGAAAAAAAAAAGAAATTCTTTATACATGATCTATGCCATTAAAACTTTGTCATACTACATAAAGACATTTTTGAGTTCTCTACTTCTAGCCATGGTTGTTGCTGTTCCCACTGAGCTGCAGGACTTTATATTGTAGTGAAAAAAGAGCACACAGAGAGGAAAAATGATAAAACCGCCAAGAAACTGCTTGGAGTTCAAAGGGTTAAAGAGAATCCCACAATGTTGCTTTAAACCAGATCTGTACCGTATCTGAAATATCAGGAGCTGAAGCAGCACAGATTGAGCAGTAATATGTCAGGTGACATCGCTATGTTCATTTTACAAAACATTCAAGGTAACGTCAATAGAACTAATATGAATAATTTGCTACCACAAAAAAAAAACCCAACATAATGTCTGATAAAGAAGCAGGACTGAAAGCAGCAAACATCCAGCAGCTGCAGTTAAGAAGGTAGATCTGGTGGCAGTTTCAGGTCAGGCGGCTTCTCTGAGCCATGCCTTCTGATGATCAGAGCTGTGTTTCACTGCCATCTCCTCTGCAGAATGCTGACAGGTTTGAGAGCAGAGACTGAGACTCTTTTAGCTGCTCCCTTCAACACACTGCTCAGCGCACACTTCTGAGCCACAGCAGGGGCCAGGACAATTGTTTTGACAGCTCTCTCCAGCAGTGTCAGAAAAGGGAATTATACTCAAAAGTGGAACGGCCCTGCATGTAGGCGAAAGCCTGACAAATGCTGCGTATGTGTGCCTGCGTTCGCACATGTGCATACGTATGTGTTTTTGTCTCGTCATGCCTGCAAATGGCTATATGCATTCAGGAGATGTTCGAATCAATTCAAATTTGCGAGGGGAAGTGTTCTTGTGAGAAAGTATGCTGATTCGGAGGAGCTTGCCCCTCAAAAACTATTTTTACAGCAGTCAGCGTACCATTGTTTCAACCACAAGTCTCTGCGCATCAATCCCCAGTGGCCCTGCTGCAGGGCCGAGTGTGGTTTTCTTTCCCAGTGACTGACCGTGATTATAATTGAAAGAGAATAAGCAGAAGTTCTAAGCAATGTTCAGAAGCTCTCTCTACATGCCTCCTAGGATCTGCTGCTATGCAAACAAGCGCGAGGAGATATTGTGAATTTCCATATACAACTAAACAAAGGAGTCATTTTTTCTACCATTAGCTCATGATTTATTTAGCTTGGGAGTGTGGGGAGGAAATGGAATTCATATAGATCAGTAGGGCTTGTATAAACAGTGTTTCCATTTGCTTGAATGAATGCAATGGAGTGTACCTTTTCATAATACTGCAGCTCATAGTCCAAGATGACTCCATTGGGCTGGTCTGGCTGGGACCAGGAGAGGGTGATGCTGTCCACAGTACGACTGACCTGGTGCATTATAGAGACTGTGGATGGAGCTGTGAAGACACAGAAACAGCGTGTTAAGTATGAAGCAAATCAATCACTGCCAACTTTACAGTCATGCTCGGAGAATTTTACAGTATCTTTAATCTCGCAGGCAAACAGTAGGTTCTGCAAAGGTGTAAGGCCATAAAACCTATGTAATATACTGCAGTCTCCTATTAGAGCATTTCACGGCTAGACATGCATTGCAAGTCGCAACAGCGGCTAAACCACAGAAGCAGCCTCACGGGACTTCCCAGTATCAACTGTGACTTTCATGGGATTAATTTACGCTTGTCATACTGTTGATAAGAGAACACCTCCTGCAAATAAATCATTTGAAAATCACCAGACCACCTTGTATCACATAAAGAAAGCACATTTTGTCAGTTGTATAAACCAAACAAGCGACGTAAATCAACAGAGGCAAGAGAAGGGTACACAGCATCCCTATTGTCCTCCCTCCGCATTCTAACTGCATTGAGTTTATGTTTATTTCCTTGTAGATGACAACATGATGGCAAATTGCAGTGTTTTTGGCATGCTACAAATTGCACATGTTTTAAATCACTTGCAACAATTTTTTCTGATTTGAGCATTTTAAAACATTTGGGGGGAGCAACCAATGGCCATAAACTATTGCCATTCATTCTAAATTCTAAGCTGATTGTGACAGCATGTTCAATAATAATTTGTCTGTAATGTGCACATTATTTGGAATATATGGTCATGGTGGACATTCAAGGCCATCAGAAATGTGGTGATTATGCTGTAAATACAATACTTGGATTAAATAGCTATTGAATTTTAAATGTTTGTTTTGCGCTCTTTTTGTGAAATTTAAAAAAAAAAAACAAAAACAAAATTATTTTTTTAAGGTTGTGTCACATTACAGCTTTTGCACTGAAACAAGTAAAATAACTCGACCCCACTGCTTAATTTTATTCATATATTTCCCAGCAAGCATAACACTCAGTAGAAGACTAAATGACCTGTTACATCGTGGGTGGTCTACTATAGTCTCACATAGCCTACTGACCTAAAATTTTGTCAGGTCAGAGGGAGGCGTGGTCACCTAAAGTCGTCCAACAGCCATTATGATTAGTTCAGGGTGCTGTGGGTCAGTGTAAAGCTAAGAGAATCTGAAGATAAAAGCTCTGTCTGGCAAGCCTGGCAAGGCCTGCAGGCCTCAGTGTCTGAGCCTCTGTGTGAAAGGGTTGGGTGGGTTGAGGTGTCAGAGAAGGAGGGGTGCTAGGCAAGATTTATGGACACCAAGCCCCACGCTCATCCCCTACAGGCCCGTGCTGCTCGCACACAGCGCTCAGCCAGCAACACAGTGGCTCCCCTGAGTCCCGGCAATAAAGTCGGAAGTCCTTCCACCGGCACGCGTTCTATATGGAAAATCCACTGACTGGAAAACTACAACTGCCACGCCTCTATAATCTAAGACTGTAAGGCTGCATGTGTGTGGCTTTTACATATTAGTTATGTATCTGCAGTACGTATAAAGAAATGCTTACAACAGAGTATGAGGTAGTCACATCTTTGCAACTTCTCTCCTGAAGCGGGCGGGGAAATATAGCATGCAAGTGACCACAGTGACTCAGAGCTAATAATAAAAAGTCCATTTTATAACCTCACTCATTCTCATTAGCTAATCAGCCAAGGCTTGCATGTCCTCTGACCAAAACAGAGGTATCCATCTGATGCAACAAATTATGATGCCTCATATAAACAGTGATGGTCAAGGGACTGAGTATGTCCTCATGTGCTGCTGCCAGAAGATAATAAATTGAGGGTCTGTATTTCATCCCAGCAAAGCACTTACACTATGATGGCCTGTGACTTTGCAACGCACGTACATTATAGCCCTATCCTGGAGCCAAAGGTACAGTAATGTATACAGTATCCAGTCAGGACACCGGTCTCAGGAATCTCTTCCATCTCAAAGTACTCACCAGTTTGTTTGCAGTCACAAGACGACAGCCTAATAAGGCAAACAGTTACTCTAAGGGGAACTCACGAGTATCCCATTACGGATGTACATATATTCAAGACTGCCACATGGCCTTTTCCTGCATAGCATTTCCATTAAACACACGGCACAGCCATGCCTAGTAACCTGATACAGGGCCGCAGAAACAAAGGCAGCTCATGTATTCATGTACAGAGGATGGACACATGCCAGCATGAAAAGCTGTTGGAGGAGAACACTGTGGGTTTTTTTTTCTGTTAAAGGACAACTTCCAGACAGCCAGAGTGGCAGTCGCCATGTCTGGGTTCAAGAAACCGATAAGGAGGGGTGGAACTGGAAACAAACTCAGATTAAATTAAAGGAAGACATGACTGTTTGGGGGGGAGGGAGAGAAAAACGAGTAAAAACATGAAGTGTTGAAACATTATGCTTGTAGAGAAAACATAAATATATTGTAAATGTAAATCCAGCTGTGCCGTGTATTTCAAGTCAATTCAGTGCACACATTTCAAGCTAAGCTGACGTTCCACCAATTGACTGTGGAATGCAGCGGTATGCCAAGTGAACGTTTCATTGCAGAACGGCCTACAGCACTGATCCACATATGAAAACCATTTTCGTACGTCTAATTTATGTATTTCAAATCTACAAGTCTCCATTGTACTCCAAATCTTCAACTTTACCAAGGTCGTTTTTTCCACAACTTCATCTATAATTTAAAGGGCTGAGTAAATACTTGGTTTTCCATTGTGTAAACATCATTCACCGAGTTATGCCACTAAATACATGTTGTAGTTGTTTCAAGCTATTTTCTTTGTTGTTACAATAATTACTTTTAAATCATGTGGATTATATCCCATTAAAGACAATTAGAAATTAAAAACAAAGATGTGAGAAAGTTCTCCCTGTCATTTGTATTAAGCCAGCCAGTTTCGTGTCACGTAAGATCGATTTCTGCGAAGTGGGTGAGCTGCACTGGATGCCTTATTTATAGGTTTTCTCAATGAATGCTCTATTCATGTTCTTAAAACTAATGAAGCGTTTATAATGACAAAGGCATGGATTGTAAGTTCATATAATTAAATTAGATGGTTGAATTGGAAAGATAAATGGTGGAAACTAACTGGGGCACTTTATGAGTTTCCCATATACCACAGAGGAGCGAGAGCGCGGACGGACGAGCGCTAGTCTTAATCACAGCTGATCTAATATGTTAGCAACATGAATGTGTCTTTTGTCCAAACCGAAGCTTGGAACGCATCAGTATGATGATCATTCATTTCGGTTGTGTAGGAGTGCATTTTTAACAACACTATGAACAAATAGTGTTTAATTTTAGATTTTATTTTATTCCTTAAATATACCCACACCTGTAAATAGCTTCTAGTGACAATCAAATCAAATCACGGCCTGTGCTGGGGCCTGATGAGGGGGTATCGTGTTGCTTAATTGTGAGACGATGGGAGGCTCCAGCTGTTGTCAGCGAATTGGGTTTCAGACCCCACATTATTACTCAGCCTGGGATCTGATATGAAAGACACTGCTTAGGAGTCTATTCTAGCATGGCATTCTGGCCTTGGCCCAGCAACAGGGAATACAAAGACTTTGTTTTGCTCAACATCTCTAATAGATGTTTGACTGTTATGTTTGAACACCTTGTGACTTCCCTAATCAATTACAGATGGAGTTTACAGGGATATTTCCACTCATTTAAATCCAAGCCAATTTAATGGGGCATTCTTCCACTAACACACATACAGAAGTGAGGCTTTCATCCATCCAATTAATTTGCGTCTCCGAAATCCTTTATTATACTGCGCTCATTTGGCAGGCTTTTCCGCCCTCTCTTTGAACGTCTCCTTGTTTAGGAGACCTGGATTTCTACTGTTTGGCCTCTATTAATAAGCACCGCTGTGAACATGATGGGCATCTTCATTAACCAAGGCTAATAAAGTGAGACAACTGTGGATGAATGGCGGCAGAAGGAGGCTGTGTTAAAAGCTCTCGTGTTCAAAAACACTCTCACTGGACAGACCTCCAGGAATGAAAGGGTCTTAAGGTGCTCTGCCATCCACGGTTAAGTGTTACGCTGAGTCGTGTTTGGCGGAGCAGAGGTGGAAAAACTGCTATCACTCAAAGAAATCTTTTTATTTCCTGCAGTTGACACACAACACCACCTGACAATTTGATACTTTTCTCTGTAGCTCTTAACAACAGTGCAGCACAGAAAAAAAGGTGAAAAATCTCCAACATCTGCTGGCACATGAATCATATGCTTCTGAGAAAGTATATGTTTAAGGCCTTTTATCTGCATCTTTCTTACATCCCACTGTGTCTGCAACCATGTGGCTCTGATTTGATTAGACGTTCTGGTACAGAGAGCAATGCTATGATTTGGGGAAGATGGGGGAGGTAGCGAGAACAGGTCAGGGCTCGTAAATCCCTTTTCCTTTTCATTGTAAAAATCAGTTTCCCCGCAGAGCAATCTCTCCCAAAGGGCCCGAACCAGCTGGTCCTCTACCAGGCAGCCTACCAAACAGGCTGCCACTGCTCGACTCTCTCCGACTGCCGTCCATTTATGAGCGCCACATCGAGATGTCTTAAAGGGAGAGGCCCATATTTGCATGTACTTTTAGCATGCTGGCAGTCTGCCCTGTTTCCCCAGCTGCAAAGGATTGTGGGTTTTACATCTATAAAGATTTTCCAGTGCAGTAAAGCTACAAAAGTGAGATTTCAGTTCATCAAGCTTAAAACCATCTGCACTGGAAAAGATTGGGAGCTATAATACACTCATATACACACCATAAGCTAATTCTAAAATAGGCACTTCAGGGGTTTGACGAGTTTTCAGATGCTCACACAGGCTTCGGTTTAAAACTAAGCTAACCTGGCAAATACGCAGTTGGAGGAAATGCACCCTGAGGTAATTAGAGTGGAGACAATAATGCATATATAATATATATAATATATGAAGGGGAGACATTTATATAGTTGTGGTAATTCTCTACTGGTGGATACATTCAAAGTAGTGGCTGTCTC